GTTTTGTAAAAATCGACGCGTTTCAAAAAGGCGGGGCATAGAGGAGAAACAATAATGTACAGTATGTGGAAAATAATGTGTTTTTTTAACTTTAAACCGCATAAACACATTTCATTACACCAAATACACAAAATAATGTTCTTTTTAGCAGCATCATATGACCCCTTTAAGATTTGGCAGTCTAATCAAGTAAGGAGTTACAAACAGATTACAAACAATCAGGGTTAGAGTACTGTTGAGATGCTATTATAGTTTTTTTTATATATATATATTTTGCATTCGTTTTTTTGTATAGTTTCTGTTTTAATTTTAGTTATTTTAGTAATTTTGTTGTGTTTTTGTAAATGTTTAGCTTTTTTTATAAATTTCTATGTCGTTTTCATTAATTTTGTTTCAGTTGTAGTTATTTTAAGATAAACTAAATGAAAATGAGATATGTTTTTAATTGTTTTATTTTATTTCAGTTAATGTTTATCTTATTTAAAGTAACAAAAAAATGTTTTTAAAAGGTTTTACATTTTGAAATTTTTAGTTTTTGTTAAAAATAATAATCCTGCAACTAATATCAAAAAAGAAAGAAAAAAAATTGATTTTCTTTCTCAGTAACTTTTGTATAAATGGTACAAATTTCTAAAAAAAAAACAAAAAACAAATACTAAGTGACTTAATGCTTAAAAAACAAAAATAAAAAATAAGTTTGTTTTGTTTATATTTTTCATGTTTTAAATATAAACTCACTAAAAATAGAAAACAATACTTCATATTTTAAGTTTTTTGCATCCCAAGCAAATGAAGAGTTCATTTGCAAAAACCGATAACTCCATTTATTTTATTTTTTTTCAGAAATCACGTTTTTTTTTATTGCGCATACCAAGTAATATCAATAAAACTTCAGTTGGGTTGTTTTGATTAAGTAATAATAACTTAAACAAATACAGATCATTTACAAAATTAAAGTTCATTGACAGTATGTTTTTTTACATATTAAACGTTTGTTTTATAGCAAAAACAGATCTCCACATTTCATGTTTTAGAGTTTAAAAAAACACTGGTTTAATCTTTGTAATCTCCTCAGATGACAATCTAGATGCCTGACAAATGTTGTTGTTGTTGTTGTGATCATAAACTGTACGGATGTGATTACACGCAATACACGGAGCTTTTCCCTCACCATTGTAATTTTGCAAGGTTCCGTGAAAATGTTTCAGCTTTTATTTTCCTTTTTCGCCCTGAAGAAGATATCACAGGTTCATCAAGTTCGTCGAAATTATCCATCCTCGATCACTTTTAGTCAGCTTTGATGAAACTCCTCTCAGCTAGCCTAGCACGTCTTTTCAAATTGAAAGTAGCCTTGTCACCTGACCTGAATACAGCGCGCTGATTCGCTAAAATGGACTTATCGGCTTCTGTTCAAAAACAACAAGGGCACTTGTCGGCTTCTGCAGTAAAACGTGAACTCGCGATGGGTTGAAAGTGGACAAAACCGGCTTTTTGACAAAACGTGTTTAGGGTTCAGATCGCGCTATATGTGGAGAATAATGCAGGGCAATCAGTTCTTTTTTTAAAGTGGCGTTTATCGGTTTTTGCAAATTAACTCTTCAAATGTTTCTTGATTTAAGATTGTTTAGATATTTGTACAGGAATTAAAAACAGAAAGACAAAAATAGTCAGAAAATAAATTTTTGAAGTGAAATCGTTTGCCACACTTGAAATAGGATGTCAAGTCGAGAGCCTTGCATTGTGGGATACAGTATTCTGCTCAGTTGCATACTGCATTTTGCCAAATGTTATATAATCTGGGTATTGCATGCATATATAAATTTCACATATACATACTGCAGAAATAGTGAGTTTAGTGTGCTAGCATGCTATTCCAAACACATTCAATGTCATTCAAACATGTAAATAAGGCCCATTACAGAATTAACGTTCTGTTCAAAATGTGCACTATAGTGGGCAATAAGTATGCACAACTGGACCTCACACCAACAATGCATGAGCCAATCATTCACGTCTGCATTAGTGTGCATAGAATGCGTTTGTGGTCGATGCCCTCTCATTAGCATACTGCCGTCTTGGTTGCGTTGTGAGACAGATCTGCTGTGCTGTTGCACAGCTGGGTGATTCTGACACTTTCTGCCTGTTATGTAGCGCGTCTTCTCTCTCTCGCTCTCTCGATTATGCCCAGTCAAGACTTTCGATTAAAACGGGGAAGGTGTTCCTCCCACTTCCAAATGTCTGGTCACTCCACAAGTGTATCTCATTACAGCCAGAGCTGGGTGTGACTGGGCTGTCAGAAAGATAGCAAGGCTCTTGTGTAAAACACTCTCATCTCACCACCAGCTAAACAATCACATTTAATTGGATTTTTCACCAGGCCCATTAAATCATAGACAGGGTTAGTGAGGCACCAGTTGCTAAAGCAACCCTTGAGTCTTTCTGGCTTTCGTCGCAAACAAACTAGCAAATCCTCCTGGAGAACCGACTCTGAGCAATGGAAAAACAACAAACTGTGTTTGACCGGCTCAGAAGACTGGGTGTTATATTAAAGATTCATGCTATAGTTGCAATGATTTGGCTGTTGATTTATATAATGCACATCTTTAGCACATATGAGAGCTGTTGGCTCATGGGGACTCAGGTTCAAATCCAACATGACCTACTTTCCTGTCTACTGTTCTACTGTCCTAAAGACAAAGAATAAAGACAGAATAGGCTAACAATAAAAATATAATAAAAAACTATGTAAATATATATTAAAACAATATATAATTTAACAATAATAATTTAAAATTATATATAAAATGAAAAATCATATATAATGTTGTTTTTTTTCATGTATTAACATTTTTTTATATTAAAATATTTTTGCCAGCAGTATTTTTTGAAAAGATTGTTCTTTTCGGTTTCTTTACAGGCCCCATGAGCTTCCCTGTCAGTCAGGCAAAATATTTTTTAAATAATCTAAAATATAACATATTAAAAATAATCATTTCAAAAAATAATAATAGAAGCCTCTGGTTGGTGGTTGGTATTTTTAAAAAATTTAAATATTTATTTTTACTATATATTAGTGCTGTCAAGCGATTAATCGCGATTAATCGCATCCAAAATAAAAGTTTTTCTTTACATATATGTGTGTGTACTGTGTATATTTATTATGTATATATAAATACACAGACATACAGCATATATTTTGAAAATATTTACATGTATTTACATTCATATAAATTATATTATAAATATATTTAATATATAAACATAACATATTTTTCTTAAATATATACATGCATATGTGTGTATTTATATATACATAATAAATATACACAGTACACACATATATATGTAAAAAAAAAAATTTATTTTGGATGTGATTAATCATGATATATATATATACAGTGGGTACGGAAAGTATTCAGACCACCTTAAATTTTTCACTCTTTGTTATATTGCAGCCATTTGCTAAAATCATTTAAGTTAATTTTTTTTCCTCATTAATGTACACACAGCACCCCGTATTGACAGAAAAACACAGAATTGTTGACATTTTTGCAGATTTATTAAAAAAGAAAAACTGAAATATCACATGGTCCTAAGAATTCAGACCCTTTGCTGTGACACTCATATATTTAACTCAGGTGCTGTCCATTTCTTCTGATCATCCTTGAGATGGTTCTACACCTTCATTTGAGTCCAGCTGTGTTTGATTATACTGATTGGACTTGATTAGGAATGGCCCAGCCAGAGCCCTGACTTAAACCCAATTGAGCATCTCTGGAGAGACCAAAAAATGGCTGTCCACCAACGTTTACCATCCAACCTGACAGAACTGGAGAGGATCTGCAAGGAGGAATGGCAGAGGATCCCCAAATCCAGGTGTGAAAAACTTGTTGCATCTTTCCCAAAAAGACTCACGGCTGTATTAGATCAAAAGGGTGCTACTACTAAATACTGAGCAAAGGGTCTGAATACTTAGGACCATGTGATATTTCAGTTTTTCTTTTTTAATAAATCTGCAAAAATGTCAACAATTCTGTGTTTTTCTGTCAATATGGGGTGCTGTGTGTACATTAATGAGGAAAAAAAATTAACTTAAATGATTTTAGCAAATGGCTGCAATATAACAAAGAGTGAAAAATTTAAGGGGGTCTGAATACTTTCCGTACCCACTGTATATATATATATATATATATAAATACTTTAAATCATAATAACCATACAAGGCTCCACTTTTGCCCTTTTCCTATATTAAAATGTTTTAAGACATATAAAGTAATAAATAATAAAAAATAATACTTTCAACAAAACAAAATAACTACAGAAATCTCTGCTTTGCATTATTCATATATTAAAATAATTTGAAAATAATATAAAATATATATTGCTGTTTAATATTACATTTTGTTATCCTAGTGCGTATAACAGTGAATTAAATATTCTTCCTTTCTTAAATAATTTTACTATATAAATATTCTTCCTTCCTTTACTTGGCAACAACTGTTTGGCTAAAATTGTAAAAAAAAATATATATATATATATAGAAAAAATTTAAAATGTGAACAATCAATCATAAATAAATCATACTGTATATATCATCAAAAAGCTGAAAGATATAGAGATATTTGCTAGTGTGCAGACCTGAAGGGAAGCGTGTCTGCTGTTCTCACCCCTCTGTGTCCTCTGGCAGATGGGACGTCCACGCTGTGCCTGTCCTCGGTGAGGGAGCTGCCGTCTCAGCTGCAGGATCTGTACCAGCAGGGCTTCATCCTAGCAGCTGTGCACCCCTTCGTCCACCCGTGCGGCCCCGAGCCCGCCAGCATCCAGCGCCAGCTCTACCGGGCAGTGCTCATCAAAGTCTCGGACAGGTGGGGTCACAACACGCCTAATGGAAACATGACAGCTGCTCTGACATTTATTACAGGGGTAATATCTTCACTTTATGCCTCAAATCCTTTATGATGTTTTTATAGTCCTCTATGATGTTACTTTATTGCACCACAAAACATCATAATTTAGTGTTTATGAGCATTTTCCATCCTCCATCTGATCCTTCAACTGGCTGTTGTGCTACTGTACCTTTAAGACTCCATGTGCTGCTATTGGGTTGGATATACTGTATTTGGTGCTGCCACATCCTCTTTGTACTGTAAAGCCTGATTGCATTATAACTGGACTACAATATAGTCTGCGTTATATACAAGAATAATCAGTTTTTCCCCTCAATATGACTGCTGTGAATCATTTCTACGCCGCTATCTTTCATCAGTTTCTCCACTCACCCCGTCTGCCATTGATGACCCATAGTCGACCGCCAGATGATTTTTACACAAAATCTGCTCGCTCTGACATCATCCAGGAGTAAGAATATGTTTAGTCCACCTGGAAAGGAAGATGTGTAAATAAGTGACCAGGTTGATAGAATAAACACTTCTGAGGAAGATTTAATAAGCAGATTTGCCAAAATGTACAAGGTTAGTGACATCGAAATAAGAGTTTGAGGTGCAGTAGCAAATAAACTGCATGAACAATTGCATATTTGCTTTATTGTTTGAGCTTTATTTGTAAAAGAACTGGTAAAATATGACTTTTGGATGGACATTAACGACTGTACTGTCCAAAAGTTTGGGGTTGGTAAGATTTTTTTTTTTTTTAAGAAGAATTAATATTTTTATTTGGCAAGGATGCATTAAATTGATTAAAAGGGTCAGTAAGACAAGATTAAAAATTTTTACAATTCAAATAAATGCTGTTTTTTATCATCCTTAACTACTTAGCTAATAAAATAAACATTGAATCAAGGCAACATTTCTCATTTTCTTTTAGTTTAAGTCGAAGTACTAAAATATCTAAATCAACTAAAAATAAAAAATACAACTTTAATAAAAAAAATTAAATGAGATTAAAAATGTAATTAAAAATTAAGTCAAAATATTACAAGTTATTAAAAGTTAAAAAATAACTAAAATTATTTTAAAATTTTAATTCAAAAAATTAAAATGAAAGAAACAAAATGACTAAACTTTAACTAAAAATGACAACAGAAAAAAAATAAAAACAGAAAAATTTAATTAAAATCTAATTCTAAATGTTAAACTATAATAGTATCAAAGATACAAAATAACACTGCTTTTTAGTCATCAAAAATCTTATCATGGCTTTGACAAAAATTTTAATCAGAAATTTCAGCTTTGAATCAAAGGAATAAATTACATGTTAAAATATACTCAAATAGAAAACAGGTCCAAATTGTAATAATATTTCACAATATTACTCTTTTTACTGTATTTTTGATGAAATAAATGCAGCCTTGGTGAGCATAAGTGACTTAATTTGGTGTTTTTAGTACAACTGACAGCAGACGTGCAATCATTTAAATTCGCTAAACGATACATTCAACTAAAAAAAAAAATGCGATTGGCCGCTTTAAATGTCAGTCAAGCGGTGGACAGCGTAAGCCTTCATGCTGTTAGTCCAAAGTCTGTCTGCAGGAGGCCAACACTTTACAGTCCGTCACACAGAGCTGGTGAAAGTTGAAGAGCGGTTCGATAATCCTCTGGCAAAACAGTGGCAGGAACTCAGAGTCACATCCACTTCCTGCCTGCAGCGCTGCTGGATGGCCGTCACACAGCGTCCAGACCGGCATAAAGGGCACTGAGCGGGAGACACTGAGCTGACGTCCACCCACACACACACCACAGTCACATCTCCATCTGCATCTGAGACTGCAGGCATGTGTCTGACCCCGCTGACCTCTTAGAGGAGATTCCCTGGAGGAAGGAAGTGAGGCCCATGTGAAGGCCTCTCTTACCTCAGTGCTGAGATTCAGCCTCAGGTTTCCACTGATTTCCACTGAGAGGAACGATGATGTAACTGAATGTGTTACTGCATAACCTGCCAACAAACAAGTCTTTGTTTACTTTGTTAAGTCTAATGATATTTAGAGTTGAATAGTGTTATTAGTGTCACTAAGACATGATGACTGTTTTCAGGGTTTAAAAGAACCTGTTTATCTGTGGCAGTATAAGCTGGCATTGGAGGAAAAAATTGTTAAAGTTGCAATGAAACACAAGTAGTGATTTGTTCTACCATATTGAATAAGAATATAGATTATTGAAAGAGAACACAAGTAGGGCAGGGCTTGGTTTTATCCACTGGTTGCTTGATTGGAGATGTGGGCATTTCAAAAAATGAATACTTTTATTCAATTCAATTCAAGTTTATTTGTATAGCGCTTTTTACGGTACAAATCGTTGCAAAGCAACTTCACAAAAAATTAAGTTTCTACAATATTTAGTAGTAGCTTATTCAGCAAGGATGCATTAAATTGATTCATTCATAATGTTACAAAACTAAAAAAAATATTAAGCAGCACAACTGTTTTCTAAGATAACTGAAAAATGATATTGTTAACAATAGGAAATGTTTCTTGAGCAGCATATCAGTATATTAGAATGATTTCTGAAGGATCATGAAGACTGGTGTAATGATGCTGAAAATTCAGCTTTGCATCACAGGAATAAATTACATTTTAAAATATATTCAAATAGAATACGTTTATTTTATATTGTAACAATTTTTCACAGTTGTGCTGTTTTACTGTACTTTTGATCAAATAAATGCAGCCCTGAGCAGAAGAGACTTCCTTCAAAAATGCATTTCAAAACATGCATTTGGAATTTTCATTTGCATTTTCATTTTATGCCAACTATAAGATGGGGAAAAAATTCTATATATAACCTTTAACATTCAAAACAATTAGATTCAGTGACTAAGTTAATTAAAAAGATATTTAACAAGTATAACATATAAAATACTGAGAACAACAAAGCAATTTCATTTACCTGACTTTATGTTTTGTGGAAATTATCCCAACCCCTGGCCTCTGATGTTAGAGAAATATTAGGGTTAAAGGGGTCATATGATGCGATTTCAAGTTTTCCTTTCTCTTTGGAGTGTTACAAGCTCTTGGTGCATAAAGAAGATCTGTAAAGTTGCAAAGACTAAAGTCTCAAATCCAAAGAGATATTCTTTATAAAAGTTAAG